TATCCCGAAGGGGTAGGCAGAGATGCACATTATGCCACTGTACAATGTTTAACTTTTCACTATTAATGTTATGAGTCCCATGTAATAAATGAGCCTATTGCCATATACCGAGCGTAATTCCAGACTCCGTGGTACTACTGAGAAATAAAAAAAAACCCCGTAATACTTTGCCCGACCCGGGAAACGAACCCAAGACCCCTTGCCCGGCAGCCACACTTGCGTTGCGACTACTCGGACAACGAGGCAGTTTATGAAGATATATTACTTATTTTTAATAATCGTTATTCTACTGTGTCACTTACTGAAGAATTTTGTTAACCAATTAATTGCAGATTCTTGACAATTAACCGTGGTTTGGAATATAAACTGCAAAATGTTGTGTACATGGAGTTTCCAAAACAAAAAGAATGATAAGTTGATTAACGAGGCCACTTGTTCATAAAATTACATAGAAAAATGGCTGCGGTAAATCGTATTGGGGTTTAGGCCTTAGAGAATGCTTGCTGGCAGAATACAATGACTTTTAGGCTATAAGATCTTCCTTTGTAAAATATGTATTCTTGCAAATAAATAAATTTGAATTTTGAGATTCTTTGGAGAAAATCACGAACAATATCATTTTGGATTTACTAGTTACATAAAAACAACATACCAACTGAAACTTGTGTCCGAAAGACAGCCACTCCTTCTCGATGAGGACCTCGAATCCTCTTAGAGTTCTGTAGTAGGGGTCCAGCATCAACATCGCCAGCGCCGTCAGCTGAGCCGTGCGGTCCCATCCGTCTGAACAGTGAACCAGTACTGATGTTTTGTGATTTTCCACCTAATTTATAGAAAATTTCGTTTTAGAATGTTAGTTTTTGATATGTAAATATAATGTAGTAATGTTTAACTTGGTTCATTTTTCCGTGATGTCACAGGACATTTTATGGTATGATTTTTTTCCATGCTTTCACATTAATACTGAGAACTCTTAGTTTAAAATGACTCAAGTGTCAATGCTTACCTTATCAACTATACGGACGGCTCCAGCCAATATGCATTTAATATGTTTCAACCAGCAAGTAGCTTCAATACCACTGAACCATCTGAAAATGACATGACAATATTAACATAACATACATTTTCGAACCCATTTGGGAAAGCCACAGAAAACCGACGTGAAACAAGCCTTGCGTTGTTTCGTCGGGTGAGTGAGGGTACCAGAGACCCAACTACCCCTCCCCCCTCCCCTTCCACAATCTTTGAATTCCCCAACATTCTTCAAATTCCTAATGCCCAAAAGGCCGGTAAGGTAACGCACTTGTAACGCCTCTGGTGTTGAAGGTGTCCATGGGCGACGCAGATTGCTTACCATCAGGTGATCCGTCTGCTTGTTTACCGGGTTATCCTATAAAAAAATCCTAAATACTTAATTAAAGGTTGAAATCTAAAGAAAACAACAACAGACAGAGGTTTTATTCAACAGTTCTACTAGCGATGATCGGACCAACAAAACAGGAAACAAATCGATAAATAACTGCATACTTTAATCTCTGCCAAATCAATAATTACGACGTACTCCATCGTAGACCGCATCATCGCTTTTTTTAAGGGGGGAAAATCATCGAATGACCGCTGCCCGCCTGGGTGAGGCAGGAGGGAGTGTCAGACTCTTACTGACTAAAAACCACCCCGTTCCTTCTCCTGCACGTCGAGCCGGAGCCCCGGTAACCCGTTAGTTTCTCCGCGACACCGCATTATCGCTTACCACCAGGCAAGCTAGTGGTAAAATTAAAAAAAAAAAGAAAAAACAATCTTTCAAACATTATATCCTGTTGAAAGCATGGCTAACCTCATTCCCATACCCAAAAAATATCATACAAGAATATTAGCAAAGAAAACAAATAATATCGGTCACTCACCTAGTTTGATCTATTTGTGGGAAGCACAACTCTTTGAGTTTACGCAAACTCTCGCGCATGACGTGTATGTTGTGTATATCCAAGAACACAAGGTCGGCATTCTGGTACGCATCCTCTGATTCATAAAAAAAAAATATTTATTGTTTATTACTATTATCCATCTATGTAGGTGTTTTTTAAAAAAAAAAATTTTGTAACATCCTGTTTTTTTTTGATATTTTTCCTCTAGGCAAAAAAAAAAATAGATTTTTCCATAATATGAGGAATACAGATCTCTATTTTTCGGTAAAAAAAAAAAATTCCTACTTCCTCCTCTGAATCAGAGCAAAATATTGTTTTTTGAATAAAAAAAAAAAAACCCGTGCTAAATATTTATCGAAATCGGTTTAGGAATTTTGTGGACAAAACTGTAAGTAACATTTTTGTGTAACAGTAGATAGAATTTAGAGCTATCTATTTGTACTAGCGACCCCAATTTGCATGTATTATATACGATATAAACCTTTCTTAAGAATCACTTTATCTATTAAAAAAACTCATATCAAAATCCGTTGCGTAGTTTCAAATATCTAAGTATACATAGAAACAGACAGACCGCGGATAGCGACTTTGTTTTTCGATAATGAAATGATATCTAGTAAGCAATTATATATTTATATATTATGTATGTATGTATGTATGTATGTATATATGTATGTATGGAGGCATATTGTACTCATGTGTAGGTATATTATAATTAAATTTATTTATGTATGTATATCTCCGAAATATATTAGTTTATCTTTCATTGTTAAATAAAATCACTGCTTGCCTCTTGCCTACCTACCGTTACTCTTCTCTGCATCACCCAAAGGTCAGACTGGTAGAAAATGCCTGCGGCATTAAGTCCACCTTTTTGTACATATTGTGCATGAAGCATATTAAATAAGCATAAAAAAAAATAAGCATAAAAAATAAGAGGAAGATCTCAATTTATCGACATAGTTTTCAGGAGATGTGGTCTCCTATATACTGATACTTAAAACCTAGGTAAGATTTCTAGAATAAAACAAACTACAGCAGAAGAAGTGCAAGAAGTAACTCACCCTCCTCCCTTAGCTTTATTGGCAACCGCATTGGCAGTAGGTCGGGCGTCCATGATGAACAGCTTGTGCGCTTGCGCATTCGCATCCATTATCAACTGTATGTAGCGCTCGTCTTCACGACTGCGTTTACCACTTACCTAAAAAAAAAGTTTAAAACTTTATTAACCTCTTGAATATCGGTAATTAAGACACAATAGAAAATATATTTTGTCTCGCGTAGATCTGCGTTCATAAAACAAGGGGTTAAGTTATGTGGTTTTTCATCGCAAAACTATGTTTTTATATTATAAGTGAGAAAAAGTTCAATAAAACTATTATTAGCTTGTTTTTAGTTTTTATAATGTAGTTTATTCATTTTTCTTTTTTTTTGTTTCTCTCTATCTCAGTTTTTAAAACTTTATTAATTGTTGTTATTTGTTATAATGTATATATTTTCTTGTTGTTCCTGGCGTGCATGTCTTATGCCGAATAAATATATAGGTACTTCATTTCAATAAATTATTATATTTACCGCCTTCGCCCGAATACTGAAAGATTACTTAATTTTAAATCGTGCTTACATATAGTTCTGTCACTACAATTTCTTTGCATAATGACAGAGATGGCACGATATTTAAGTACAAGTTAAAATTGGAAAAAGGAGGTTCCCTTTCAAAAAAGGAGGTCCTCAGTTTTGACCTGTAGGTACTGTATGGATGTTTGTGCTAGATTATCTCGCGATTGGCTGAACCGATTTTGATCCGGTTTTCAAAAAAATGTTGTTACATTTAAGAGAAGGATTTAATGTATTAATTAACCGACTATAAAAAATAGAGGGTTGAAGTCGTTCTTTGCAACAGTTTTAATTTCATTTTAACTCTTTGTAACAATAATGTACAACGGCGGGCTTAACCGGTAACCAGCATTGGGCGGTGATTAAACTGTTAAACACAGCGAGGACACCGGTGACCGCAACCTATTGTTCTTTAGTTGTGTCTATAATGACGGTACTCAAATCTTGAGAGAAAAGGCCTTTTGTCACAAGCACAGTTTAAGTGTTGAGCAAAAGCTCGACAGCGGGCACTTATAGGCTGTTAATATGATGTGCGATGGTTGAACTGAATGCTACAGGCATTCTTACTAGCCAACCTTTAGGTGACGCAGTGAGAACGTGGTGTCTATGGCATCCAACACCTAATCAAATAAGTTTACAAGAATATTTACTAATAAAATAAACTAGTAACCTAATTTCGGTTTGTTTATTCATTGTATTATGAATTATGATACATTTCATTCTCATAATGGCACTTCTAATACAAAGTATTAGAATCATTTGAGTAATGACTGTACGTAGGAATCCCCCAAGAAAGACGTTAGTCAATTCCCATAGAAGAAATGATTTCATATATACAAATAAATTGAAGGATGTACATAATAATTATAATAAAACAAATACATACTTAGATAATACTAATAAGTTATAGGGAAAAAACATTTTGTTTCTCTTGAGTTAATGCATGTTTTTATTTAATTGAAATACATAACATAACATCACGCCTTTTATCTCCGGAGGGGTAGGCAAAGATGCACATTACGGCAATTGGGAGGAGGGCATGGAAATTAAAAATCTATAGTCCGTAAGTTAGGTAATGAAAAAATATTAGACACGTATTTTTTAATTTTGTCTTATAAAACAATACTTAGATAAAACGAATCAAAGTTTAGAAGTAGGGGCTAAAACGTCATTTCTACGTATAAAATGTACATAGAAGTGACGTCACGCGTCATTTCAAATGAATATATCGTCGAAAGTATTCGTTTCAGTAAGAAAATAAAAAATACGTGTTAAATAATTTTAAATAATCTAGGGGGTGAGCCCATTGCCATATACCGGCCATAAATCCAGACTCCGTACTACTACTGAGATTTTTTTTAAAACCCCAGTAATACTTTGCTCGACCCGGGAATCAAACTCGGCCAACCCTGCTTCCCTGACTAAGGTTAGCGGAGGATTATTCTTTAACCGTTTTCTATTGGCAGTCAAAGTCTTAAACATAATAATAGTCTAAAAGGTTCACTCACCCCTACTAAAGGCTGGCTACACCGTGTGATAGTGGCCTGTGAACTAGGATGTATCCATGCAAGCACTGGTATTCTTCCTCGAGACCTGAACGTGGCTACGGAGCGCAGTAAGTCATCATTCGCGGCTGCTGGCACTGCCCATATAGATGGGTAACTGTCGCAAACTTCATACTTGTCGTTTATGCGAGTTATACGCCACATGTCGTTATTTACACCCTGGTGAAAAAACATGTTTTTCTTAAGGTTTCACTTTTGTTGGTATTCATATTGAGTTGATTAAGTATTGCAAGTACTGGATAGTCTTCAACTGTAGCTGTACTTCATTAATGATAGGTGCAAATTGATAAAACTGGCGAATCTACAAACTAGAAATCATTTCTATCTTCGCTCTTTGAAGAATGAAATACCTGATGTAAAATTTTATAAGAAGAAATAAGGTCAAGAATAAATTCTGTTATCAGGATCGCAGATAAATAGGAATTTGCATTTATTTAAACTTACCATGCGCCTAAGCTCAGCAATAGGCTCATACACATGCCATCCATCTTCGGAGAAACTCTCTGAATAACTAAACGCAAATAAAGGCAATCTATGCGACAGTGGAAATGCTAATTGCTGCAGTTTCTCGAATATTCCACGTCGAGAGTGATTCTCTTGTTTGTGTGCAAACCTTAAATTTCTCATATCCTGTAATATTAATACATAAACATAATAATTTGCGCACAAAATAAGTTACTATTACATATATCACATCCAATTGCTAGTTAAGAACACTCTTATTAGAATCTGTCTTAATAGGTTGATATCCCCTAAATCAGTTCATATAAAAGTAGTTTCTAAACATCAGAAATAAGGTCTATAATGGAGTTAGTGAGAGAGGGGTCACCAGTGAATGCTTGAGGATTAAACAGGTAATAATAATCAGTGAAACAGTCTCCATAGTCTAGGATGATGTGAACTATTTTAGATTAATTATATGTATTTTTGTTATTATCTTTACATAATGGTCAACATCTTTGATGATTCAATAAAACAACTTTGACAGTACAAATTTGATGATCCAAATGAATGGAGTGGATTAAACCTAGAGAGCACCCAAGGCAAGCACCACATAGGTACCACTAATTTTTTTTGGCGCCGCCGCCACTATTAGTACGTTGTCTCGCGGCGCCTCTATGTAACCAGCAGCTGTAGCCAAAAGCTATTTAGCGCTTGTCTACATGTAGAATAGAAAACCAAATTATATGCAATTGACGTAAATTTGGACACTTGTCAGTGTCATCCCCATACATTCTAATTTCTACTCTCTCAGTAGACAAGCACTAAAGTGGCGTTTGGCTATAGGCCCAGGCACTCTAAGCACTTGCCTAGTTAAGTTTGCCTTAGGAATAATACGGCTCTATGTACATCGGTACCTAATTAGGTAATGTACTGGAATTCAGGAAGTGTATAAAACAATTCATAATAGTTGCTAATTACCTTGCAAAATATTTCAATGCCATATGAATTTTCACCTTTTGATGATGCTCCCCCAACCTTTTCAATTCGAGAAACCTGAAAACATTAAAACAAATATTAGACACAAAATAATAATAATAAGTAAGTTATCAAATATTCAAAATCTTGTACATTTGACTTTATTCTGAAATTTGATGTGTCACCATTACTGGGTCTTCAGTTTCAATTAAACTGTCAAACACCAAGCGGTCACCGGTGACCGCAACCTATTGTTCTATAATTGTGTCTACAAAACCTCGACGACTTAAAGAGTATGTATAACGTGCATGCGCCAACTTAAGACTGTTAGAAATTATAATTACTTCTATCAAAAAACTGCTGTATAACTAAACATTACTGATTAAAGTGATTACTCTGACTTTGTCAGAAAGGTAAACAAATAAACAGATAAACAATAACTTAGATAAAGAAATAACTTACAACACCAAGAGGCACGCTAAGAGTACTCTGTAACGCAGCGGTGTCAGTCGGTCTGAAGTGTAACTGATAATTTGTCACTTTTAGTACTCCTCTAGACGGACCACTATATGGACATAAATAAGTCACATCTCGGGCTAAACTCATCACCTTTTCACCATCTAAGAGTTGAATATCTCCCAGTACATGTGGCTGTAAATAAAAATTGAAATTATAACAAGGACAACTCAAGTGAGAACTAAGTTTTAGTATGTATTGATACCAGCCTTAGACAATTCCTGCAGCCTATGATTGTGGATACAGTTGATAAATAAGCAAATATGAATAGATCTATTCGCACTCATTGCGATAGAGGAAGAACAAGAAAAATTTTGCTCCACAAATACAAGTCACACACAGCAATGACTAATCGCTAGCTTAAACTAAGTCACATCACAGGAAGCAGGGAAGCGGCTGTTATAAAATTCAATAAGAATAAATTAATCCTTTTAGGAAACTTACGGAGTCTTGTCCGTGTTTAGAATTCAATGAACTCGATTTTGAGTCTGAGTCCAATGAATCGGAACTCGCGTTCTTTGATAACGAAAAATCTGAATTCAATAATTCAGAACTGTTGTGTTTGTCCATTGTTGACGATTGTTTATCCTGGTTAGAGTAAGTATTAAGTAAATCAGATTTTAATTCCTAATCAGAACTTCAACTTCTCCTTGGCAAAACATAAAATTATCAAAATAAATGACAGTATTTCCTCCACCAAGTTCTGACGTCAGATTGAATGAATGAGTCAATGAATGTAAAGTCTTGTCAAAAAAAAATAATTTACACAATCGTTTTTTAATAAATATGGTAAAATTAAAATATTTGAGTAACAAATACAATATAAACTCCAATTTATATATTATTTACCGAGATTTTTTTAATTATAGGAAAAACAGGTCAGTGTTACTAGAAATTAATGAAATTTTCCCAAGTTTGCTCTATATGTCAAGTTCTTGTCTATGAAAAACTAGGTTTCCGGGACAGCAGATAAATATGATAAGCAAAGCGCGGTTACATCAATAATGATTATTGAACAAACAAGTTATTTGTTACTATAGCAGTAAATTTATTATAATATCTCTATGGATTCACTTTACCCGTTTAACTAGGAACTCAGTAGAAGTTGACGACAAAAAGTATTCGAGATTTTAATCATGAAGTTCCCAGAAAGTGTAAAACTTACTACTTATTTAGCTTATAAACACTCTGAAATTATAGAACCTCAAAGAAAAATCAAATCAGAAATATTTGATTGGGACTCGAACATTCCAAAATCACTAGTTTCTATCTGTATTGAGAAGTTAGCTGAAAATTGGATGGGTATTTTTTTTAAACGTATACAAGCCTCACCAAATGTATCTTACAGTGCATTTTAAGCTTTTTTTTTTTACCAAAATATATATATATATATATATAATAAATATATATTATTTATTTTTTTTATATATATATATATAATAAATAATATATATTTTTATTATTTTTTTATTATTTTTATTTATATATAACATTAGTTAAGTAATGTTTTGTTCCAGGTTACCCTAAATTAGAGCAACTAATTGCGAAAGATCGTGAACTTTTCCTGCAAATCTTGGACACCGATGTTCCTCTTCAGATTTTGGTCGATAACATCAAAAGTGATATCTTCTGGAAAAGATGCTATCACTCTAAATTCTCCGATTCACCATTATTGGCTGATGGTAAAAAATGGATAAATGCTTTCATGGAACGTCATTTTGCTGATATCTTAGAAAATACAAATCCTAGACAATATGATCCAGAAAAGGTAAGTATAAAAAAACAATATATTATTTTTACTAAAGAGATCTATGCACAGAAAATGTGCCTTTGGATACAGGATAACCACATGGATAACTTTCAAAATAATATTTTTATTGATTCCTACCTAGATTACAACTTTAGTGAAGCTCTGTGGACCATACATACAAAAATTATCAATTCGTAGTTTGATACCAACTGATATTCCTGTTCAAAGAATGGCTTCGCCAGAATTAGCTCATTTAGTGACAAATCAAAAGCAAAATGGAAATAAACAGCAATCCAAAGATAATGAAGTAATCTGTAGAGGTGAGATCAAAAGAATGCCTTTCTTGTATCCGTCATAATAATAATTTAATTATTTCTATTATTTCACAACTTTTTCAGATCACATATCATTACATGCTGCTTTGGGAAGTTTGTCTAACTTAGTTGAATTACATATAACTTATCAGTTGCGGTCTATTGGGGTTCAGTACCGTCCTGATCAATTTCAATTTACTAATAACGATGCTAAAAATTTGGCTCGTGGTCTGGAAAAATGTGCCCAACTGAAGATTTTAAGGTTTTTATCAATACGTTATAATTATTATTATTACTTATTGTTGTTCATGATTATTTTAAAAATATTAACAGCTTTGTTTATTCTAGGATTACAAGGACTGATATGAATTGTCAACGAGTGAAGTACATTCTGCGAGGTCTTTCAGAAAACTTAAAGCTAGAAATGTTGGATTTCAGTCATTGCAAAATCGGTGATGATGGTGCTTCGTCCATTGGAAAATTTATAATGAGACGAGACGCTTTACGAACTCTTATTTTGGCAGATAACATATTCGGTAGTGAACAAACTAATTGGTTTGACACAAATACCTTCAGTTTAAAAGATTCTTCGCAAGCAAGATAGCTATCTAAAAAACTACATATTTACAATAAAATTTCGTATTGTTATAGGTCCTTCTGGTATTGAGAGTATATCACATGCTCTGAACCACTCCGGTTGCGGGGTTCGAACCCTTGACTTACGACTAAATACGAAACTTGGATCCGAAGGAATTGCTCACATAGCTGTATCAATTGCAAGAGGGTGCAATTTAACAAGGTAACAAACAGCTACCTTAAACTTATAATACAAAATACTTAAAGCTTCATGCACAAAATGTACACCAGTCTGACCTTTGGGTGATGCAGAGAAGAGTTAATGGTGTGAGCAAGAAGCAAGCAACTATTTAATAGAGCAACTAAAATAGATATACTTACATATTTCAGAGATAAACATATATAAACGTAATTATAATATATATACCCTTTTATATTACAGTCTAAATATATCGGGTTGTGGAATAACACCAGGTCCTTTATTGAAATCACCAGCCGGAGTGTGGTCAACAACAAGTGCAGAAAATCCTCCAACATGTGGTGAATTACTGGCACGAGCAATAGGCTTAGTTAAAACTCCACTTCGTTCACTTGATATAAGTGTGAATAATATTGGCCAGGTATAATTTTCTTCACTCCTCCAACAACGATCCTTCCAAATGCCTAAACTATTACATATTATCTTTTCAGCCAAGTGATAGTACTCTTTCAAATGCTATATGTTTGAGTTATATAGTGGACTTGAATTTGAAGAGATCGGGAATGGGATCTAAGGCTAAAGCAGTAGCAGAATCAGCGGCTGCTGCTCAAAGATTGAGAAGAGAAGCTGAAAAAGGAATAAGATTCAGACGAAGTGCGGGCAAACTCGTACAAGCGAGTCGAGTTGCAAAAGGAATGAATATAGGTCAGTACTTTTAAAAGTAGTTAATTTCAATATTTTATTACGTATAAACGTTTGATAATTAAATATATATATATCTCTTTTTGTTAGATACGGATCCACTTTTATTAGCTCAACAACTATCTGCTAGACCTTCAATAGTATCCGTAGCATCAGAAGAAGGAATGCATAGTATTCAAACTCAGCCATTACCATCTGATTTTGGTTTCATTCCGACATTTAAGGTACGTTTAATTAACAATTTATTTCCTTACATTGTATTGGAATATGTGGGACATTTGAGTTACAAAAATTACGCTTTCAGAGTCCACTACCGTCATCACGATGCTCATCCATTACTGGTCCTCCAACTTCTCGAAGATCTAGTCACCACGCCATACTGGAACCCGTCAAAGTATATTTTTTATATCCATGTAATCTGTCAATTTAAATTAGATTTATGTTTGTTTAACAAAACGTATATTTTATTTTAGGAAGTTCGTCGGACAGCTCTTGTTCGTCGTGGTTCAGATGGATCTCTATTACAACCACGCAGTGCTAATACCCAAAGGCATATTAAAATATTTGTTTCTTAATTCTGCAATACAGAATAAACACGTATTTATTGAGAAACTTGTTTTCTTATTTTTCCTGCAAATAATGGAATTTATTAAATCCTGGCAACATTATCCATAGAGAAACTGTAAAAAAGCACTATTATTTTTCGGACTTCCGTCCGTCACTCGCTCAGTGCAATGTAGCCAGTCTTTCGAAATGTCATGTCAGTCAGCCATGTTTATTTCTATAGAATGTGTTTTGAAATGGTGGTAGTGATAAAAAACAACATAATAGTGGAAATATTTTCGTAATTTTACTTGTTATCAACTGTAGTGTTTTAGTGAAGCTTCAATGTGTTTTTTTGTGTAAGTGTGGATACTATTGCCGTGAAAATGAATTGGGGTATTGAGCTTTGGGTAAGTGACTACGACATTATAATTCCGTGTCGGTTGTTCAGCAAATTGTAAATTGTATAGCTGCTGTTGTTATGGATAAACGTGCATAGTATATGCACTGGATCACTGCGGTATTTAATGATCTAACAAATTCAAGTAGTACGATAATTATGTAAAGCAGGAGATGTAATGTTTTATTAGATTTTTGGGAGTAGAAAGTTTAGTCATAGTTTGTTTGGAGTTCGCAAATAGATTTTGCGAAAAACAGCGGTGCATTTTTGACCATGAGATAAGCGGAATGTGGATTCTAACTGTTGTAATTTTTCCCACAATTTTATTAAAGGTACCACAGACATAATATCCAGTAGATTGTTCACCAACTTTCTACAAGTGCATATGAGTTCGAGTTTAAAATACATTCACATTTAAGTAGACTGTAGAGGACTATTACTTATTACACATTCCATTCTTGGTGGCATCAAAAAGGTCTATGAATAAAGTACTGATGATAGAGTATAGGATTCTTTACATTACAGTACATCTAACAATTTTAAATCTATCAGACTTTCAGCAAGATGCAGAGCAATAAGTTCTATTTTCAAACTAGTCAAACTAGACTATTTTATTGAAATTTCAAGCCAGTCTTATTAGAAAATGGAAACTAAAAAAATCTCTCATTCTGGTAAATGCTGTAAAAACAATTCAGACAGACTTACTTTCACTCTTAAATATTCTTGAATACTTATACTTTTGAAATAAAAAAAAGAATTTGAATAATTTAAACAATGCTATTGAGACAATAATAAGGTAGAATCAGAAAATCTTTGATTTCAGTAGCAAACTTTTCAAGTAAATACCTGCATTTTAGTACTCAACTGATACCTGTTTCATTAACATAAAAATTAAAATGCACCAACAATTTTTCATTTTATGCTTTTGTTTTAAGTACAATATTTAACTTTAAACCATGCATGAAGCAAAAAGTGATGTATAAAACATTAGCTTTATAGGTATATAAATAACTACCTATTACTAAATTCCAATGAATATTCTAATTTCTAAGCTTTCATTTGATTTTCTAAACTCCAATTTTAATTCTAAAATACCAGTGCTAGGAATTATTAATATGTATTATATCGATCAGTGTTACTGGCGTTTTAGAAAATCATTCTAAATTTGAATTCTATAAAATAAAATATAAAAATGCTCTTTAATGCATTGGGGCAATTAATACAACATTATTAGCTAATAGAAATTGTAATCAGTAAGTAATTGAACCATTGTCAACACAGATATCTATTCATAATTATCATAAATATTAACTTGTTTGTGATTCCTATTGATTTTCCTTTGAAATTTAACAATTATCTCTAATGAATCGTGTTAGCCACAAAATAAATATTCCACCTCATAATTGTAAGGACATACAATTTGTGAATTAGGTACATTAGTAGAATTAAAATTGTGAAGACATGATTATGATTCACAGTGTGTCATCAAGTTATCATAAATGCCTTGAGATTCAATGTCAAATTTTGAGGGTATATTCCGGGCTCGTATCTGGGTCAGTGTTTGTGTACAACATGATATCACTCTATGCTGTACTTTATACATAAAATATTCTATTATTTAATGTAACTTATT